CAGGACTGGATTTGTGTTGTTTAAGGGCGGGGAGGGGATGTTGATTTCTTTCATTCTTTCTGTGGCCAAAACCTCTCTGGGCAGTGCCAGCCCTGCGGGCTCTGCCTGGCACCGGGGCACGGGGGTTAAAGGGAATCTCCCCGGGGCTCGGGGCTGCTAAAGCCACCCCGGGGCTGCCGTTGGTGCTCCCGTGCCCAGCGCCCCAGGGACGGGTCTCACCCAGCGGCACCGGGAACACCCCGGCCCGGTCCTGTCCGGTGCCAGGCAGGTTTCTCGTGGAACCTCAACCTCTGTCTCCTCTCCCTGCAGCACCAGCCTCGTCCATCGCCGCCTGTTCACGGGAACGCCGCCCAGCCGAGGCATGGTGTGCTCCAGCCCCGTGCAGGCAGCTCAGGGACAATCGAGCTCCAGCCAGGAGGAGCAGCATGCTGGCGAGCCAAACCTGCTGTGGCTGGTCAACCTCACGGGCGCCCACCTCGGCTTGGCCCCGATCTCCGAGGACCCCGAGGATCGCTGCAGCATTTGGGAGAATCTGGTGAGCCTGGTGGACTTCCAGTGCTCAGGCTTTCCCCTGACCTCTGAGGAGCTCTGCCACTACATCGACATTCCCCTCTCGCCCTCGTCCTCCGGCACGGGCGCGGTGACCGCGACCCTGCCCCAGTCCCCTCCGCTGCCGAGGGACATCGACTACAAGAACAAAGCGCACCTCAAGCCGCCCTACTCCTACGCCACTCTCATCTGCATGGCCATGGAAGCCAGCGAGGAGCCCAAACTCACCCTGGCATCCATCTGCAAGTGGATCAGTGACAACTTCTGCTACTTCCGCCATGCCCACCCCAGCTGGCAGGTAGGAGGGGGTTTGGAGCCCTGGCTGCGCTGCCCGGGGCTCTCTGCAGGGTCCCGTGGTCCTGCTGGATCAGGATTTCAACCCCGGGGTTTGTTCTCTTTTGCACCTAGAGCTCCATCCGGCACAACCTGTGCATCAACAAGCGCTTCATCAAAGTGCCCCGGCAGAAAGGGGAGCCAGGCAGAGGCGCCTTTTGGAAGCTTCACCCCCAATATGCCGAGAAGCTCAAGAGCAGCAAAGGGTGCAGGACACCCCCAGAGCTCACCCCGGCAGCTTCCAGCGGGGGAGCCCAGCCCGAAGCTCAGCGCGGCCCCAGCCCGGCCGCTCCGAGCAGCTCCCAGAGCAACCTGGAGGTGAGCGCGGAGCTGCAGCAGCTGCTGCGAGAGTTCGAGGAGTTTGAAGGCAGCCGCAGCGGGAGCCCCACGCCACCAGCCGAGGCCTCCTCGCTCCCCAGCGGTGCCTCGGAGCTCCAGGAGGAGCCGGGCGAGCTGACGGAGCTGAAGGGCAGCCTTGACTGGGAAGCTCTGTTCAATTCCCTCTCGGAGCAAGATTTCTCTGCTCTTGAGGATCTGCAGCTCTCACCTCTCACCCAGCTCGAAACGCTCCCCCTGCAACCAACCGAGGCAGGAGAGCAGCACCTGGGCTGGCCACAAGAGCAGCAGCAAGTCCTCGCCAAGGCCAGCCCTACCAAGCCGGGCTTGGATGAAACCCTGACGGCCACGGCTTTCCTGGAGGCCGCCTGGCCCGACGAGATGACAGAGAACCTCTCCAACTTCATCCCCATGGAGCAGGGCGATGGAAACACCGCGGCCCCTCTGCCCAGCTGGGATGTCGTGGATTGGGACTCTCTGGATCCCCTAAATCTCTATTAGAGACGAGGGATTAGATTAGATTAGAGTAAATGAGATTGATTTAGGAGGGGCTTTGGGGGTGGGTGTAGATGGTTTTATGGACAAGGCTTATTTTTGCTGCTTTCTGTTCTATATTTTGCTTAGGGAATGATGTTAAAGACCTGCACAAACACTTGGCTACTTTAGATTTTTTCATTTTATTGACAGTTTTTAAGAGATAGAACTAAAGATCCAGGAGCTGCTCCCTGGCCTGCAGGCAGTTCCTGCGGCTGACAGGGTCCATCTGGGGCAGGGACTTTATTAGAGATGGTAGATAACTGATAGATAATCAATAAATGATTGATAGATGGCAGATGATAGGTGATCAATAGATTATAGGTGATTGAGAGATGATAGATTTCACATTATATAAGATATATAGATAATATATATAAGACATATTATATAGATAATATATATAAAAGATATGATATAGATAATATAAATAAGATATATGATATGGATAATATATAGAATATATATGATATAGCTAATACATAAAAGATATATGATATGGATAATATATAAGATATATAATATATAGAATACATATAAGCTATATGATATATATAATATATAGAATATATAAGATATATAGAATATATAGAATATATATTATATATTATAATAAATATATAAGATATATATTATTATTTAAGATTAGATATGATATGATATGATATGATATGATACCATAGATGATAAGTGATAAAATTAGATTAAATTAGATGAGATTAAATGAGATGGATTTGGAGGGGCTTTGGGGGTGGGTGTAGATGCTTGTATGGATGAGGTTTCCTTTTGCTGCTTTCTGTTCTGGTTTTGTTTGCTTGGGGAATGATGTTGAAGAACCACACAGATATTTGCCACTTTGACTTTTTAAAAATGTTGTTAACAATTTTTAAGATATAGATTTAAAAAATAAACTAGATAAGAACTGCATTGTGAGTGTGTTATATCTGGTGAAGAAGTTTTTTTTTCAGCATTGCTGATCTTCAAAATGTGCCACCACAGAGGGGGCTTTGATGTGATGGCAGCGTCCCAGGAGAGCCCCTGGCCAGCAGCAGCTCTGCCCAGAGAGCCCCGCCAGGAATCCTCAGCTGGGCTCTGGGACTGAGCCGAGAAAATAAAATCATTATTCACCCAGCAGAGCCCCCAGCCCGGCACAGACCCCAGCCCATAGGGACCCCAGAAAACCCACAGGGACCCCAGCCTGGAGCACCCCCACCCCCCACCCCCCACCTGAGCCTCCCGGGTGTCCTCGCTCCTCTTCCCCACCCATGGGAGGGGGGAGGGCTCAGCTCGGAGCCCCCGGTTCCCCACCCCCCCCACTCACATCTGCACTCACGGGGGGGAGGGGAAGGGTCCATGGGTCACCTGCTGGGGACAGGGACAGTGTGGGAGACCCTCCCCACCCCCCCAAACCCTCCCCATTACCCCCCCGTGCCCCTCTCCACCCCCAGGTCCCCCCCCGGTGATGGGGACAGAAAACACCAGGGGTTAAATTGGGAGGATCGAGGCGGGGGGGAAGGGGGGACCCCGTCCCGCAGCTCGCTGGTGCTGAGGTCACCGGCACGGGGGGGACCCGGGGGGACACACGGGACCCTCCGTGAGCAGCACCGGGGCACCCCCAGGGCTGGGGGGCAAAGGGAAGGGCACCCCCCACCCAAAACAATCGCTGTGGGCAGCAGGCTGGGAGCACAGACAACCCCCCCCCCAAAAAAAACCCAAAAACCCCGGGCCACAGCTCCAGTGTCCCCAGGGTGTCCCCAGCGCTCCCAGTGTGTGTCCCCAGGGTCCCCAGGGTGTCCCTGTGCTCCCCGGCCCGTGACACTCCCGTCCTTTGTGTCCTTCACAGGCGCCTCCAAGCCCTGTGTCCCCAAAGGCGACCCCAGCCCCAATGTGCCCCTAAAGAGACCCCCATTGTCCCCACCCTCAGTGTGCCCCCAGCCCCAACGTGCCCCCCAAAGGGACCCCCAGTG